AATGAGTTGTGCCGCAGTGCTTATCAAAGGAACGAAATAAATTTTTGAAATACCAATAGCTGCACGGTAAGTTTTATTCTGGAAGTTCCAAGTGCTTTATAGGAAATGTTGTTATTAACTCTGGCTTTTAACTTTGATGCCAAAGGGGTAGCTAAACAATCTACATCTTTGCCATCAAAGTTAAAAGCCAGAGTTAATTTCCTCCTCAGAGACTGATTCTTCTGAAAAGAGATCAGTGCAAGGAAGGATACCTCCTGTGTGCCAGGCATTATGCTAGGTACTTTCGTGTCATCTCTTCACATTTTCTCTCTTAATCTTAACAATGATTCTATAAGACTAGAATTATAATCATCATTTTATAGATGAGTAAGAGAATCTGAGAGACTCTGTAACTTAGTATCACATGGAAAAGAAACACTATAACCAGGTCCTAGCTTGTGCCTGTTTAAAAGCAAAGCTCCTGGTCTTTCTGTTAATTCACATGGAACCATTGTTCTACACATGAAGTTGGGCTAAGGCTTTAACAATGTCTGAGAGTAGTAGACTTTGCTCAATAATATAATTAATGAATATCCATTGACTTCTATGTGTTCAGAAATGTGGATAGCACTAGAAGAATCACTGAGTGTTAACTTATCCCTCAATGATTGTTACTAAACATGGAGATGTTATCACAACATCTCCAGCTGGGCCCTTTGAGCACTGGTATACACACTGGAGATTTATATTAACTTCTTTTCCTGTTCTGTTTCCTATTGGCTCACGAATAGCCACTTTTGGGAAATTTGTTCACACCAAGTTTCTAACAGAAATTTGGTTGGTGTAACTAAATTATATAAACCTACTTATTGGCCTGCCTGTCTTGATTATCTCAATAGAAAGCCAATGCTCTTCATAGGCTATGTTTGTTCTCTATTCCTGTCAAATCATAAAATATGGTAAAACTTATATTGCTGCCCACATTAGTTAAGTTTTCATTTACATTGTATTATGCAGTGCTTAAAAAAAGATCACGGAGTTAGATCACATGGGTTCTAATCCTGCTACTCAGCTCACCACCATAGGATCTTCGGCAAGTTACTTAACTCCCCTGGGTATCAATTCTTCAAATATAATATGGGAAAAATAACAGCACATTGAATAGGGATGTTATGAAAATGAACTGAGATAATATATGCAAAATACTGAGAACAATGGGGGGCTTGTTCTTCTTTTTGAAGATCTGTTAAGTTCAACAGCATAGCTAAGTCTTCCACTGGAGATTTTTAGTATACATGTCTTTGCTATTCCATGAATCTCTGAAGCTTGCCAGGGATGTTTCAGCAGATTTCCCCATGAATGAATGCCACCACATAGTGTGCTGGAGTGAGACTGGCTGCCTAATGTAGGCAGTTGGAGAGAGGAAGGAAGGAAGGAAAGAAGGAATCAAAGAGTCTGGTTAGCCACCGTTCTTTCCATATAATTACCCCAAACAACAAACTCTCTGTGCAGACCCTACAGGAGAAGTTCCCTAACCTTTTTGAAAGAAGGGCTTTATTTTCATTTCTATGAAGTCTTGCAATCATCAAGAGTAGAGGAAGCTGACTCTAAAACACCTTAACAGAGCTGGAGAGGAAGCATCTCTTCTGGCTAAGTTTTATTTTGAGACTGAAAAACATAATTAATACTGCAGCCTGAAAACTCTCATACTTTGAATTACGGTTACTGTCTTTGGTAGTGCCTGTCATAGAGAAAGCTACATGTTGACTTTAAAAGAGGCCTGGCTCAGCGGAAGGAAATAAAGAAACTAATATTTACTGAGGAGAATGACTTTTACATATATACCTGCATTTAATCCTTCAAACAACTCTGCTATAGTTTTAAGAAAAATTATACTCAGAGGCTTCAGTAACTTGCAGAGGTTAGTTTTCTAGTAGTAGCAGTGCAAAAATTTGAACTCAGAACTTCGCTGATCTGCAATTAATTATTAGTAAGAAGCCATTTAATTCATTTAACAAATATTTATTGAGTCTTTCCTATGTTCTAGGAACCACGATAAATGCTAAATAGATACAGAAGAGGGAAAGATAGGTGAGTCTCTATTCTCATGGAAATGAGAATCTAATAGGTGAACTAATACATGCAAATGCATTCCATAAATATAAGTTATAACCTCCTGGGGAAAGAAAACAAAGTTTAAATGAGTGAATCAAGGATTAAGGGAAGCTTTCTAATTGAATAAAAGTTGGACTGGCAGATAAGACTTACATGCAGATTCATTTCTGAACATTCGGCTTCTGCCATTAGAGGAAAAAACTGTAAAAATCTAAGTATTCACAGAACTGACAGCCTGATTTCCCTGCACCCTTAGTTTAAAAGGATTACACAGTTATTTGTAGATTTGCATCCATTATCACATTATAAAATCCTGAAGAATGGAATCCTTTCTAATGCAGAGTATTTTGACAACAATGAAATTCCATAAATGTCTCTTACATTGAACATGACTGAAGTGATAAAAAATAAGAACTGTCTGGTATTTCTATCTCTAAAATACAACATTTTTCCCTGTGGCAGAAACATTTGCTAGTGATCAGATATATTTGTGCTCGCTTCATATTGCCCAACATTCTTGTAGTTCTGGTCAATGAATTCTAAACAGATGTAATAGATGTCCCTTGGGGCTGAAGCATTTAAGAGTTAGTAGACAAAACTTTGGCTGCTCTCTTTCCTTGCCTAGTGACTACTGATGTTCCAGCTGGAAAAGCCTCTGTCATCCTGCATCCCTGAATGCCTATGTGGAATATAATCTCCCCTCCACCTCCAATAATGCATGTTGAAAATGATAGGAAGAAAAAAATAATTGTTATTGTTCAGCTACCAAGATTCCAAGGTTAATTTGTTATTGCAGCATATCCCAGTCCATACTGACTAACATAGCCCTCAATTTCTAATCATCAAAGAGGTACTGTGAATGAGGCTAGCTCTGTGACTCTCAGGGGAAACTGATTCCGGTCAAATCATCAGGGTCAGAGCAAATAAGCAATGCGCATTTATGGAAAGCTGCAAATAAGTAAAATGAAGGCAATGTTGGCTTCGAATAGAGTAATGGTTTTCAAACTGTGTTTATGGAACCCCGCAGGTATTATAGAAGTGCCTCAGGAGACACTGGTAAGTCTAAGAGAAAAGACCAAGAAAGGGGCCCTGCCCCCAATTCTATGCAGAAAAGTTTCACTTTTTCCTGTATTTTACATTGGGCTTCCATGGAATATTTTGTCAAAAACTTTGCCTTTTGATAATATGTTTTATAAAGGTTGAAAATTATTGGTAAACCATTAGCATATTTATAAAGAAGAAAAACACAAAATCAAGATGATTTTATTGGATAAAAAAAGGGATTGAGGCCAAATATAAATTATAGTCCACTGTGCGAAATTAATTTTCATCTGCTTTTCAGAAGAGACTATTGTATTTAACTTTTTAATTCATCTTCAGCTGCTTTCAAAGGTGACTTCTTTTTCTCTCTAGTAAATATTTTTAAAGTTTGGCAGTCATCTGCCTGTTAATGACTCTCTTCTTAGCCATTGTAATTGATATCTTTCTCCCATCTAATAAAACCAAGGCTACCAAGCTGCTCTTATTGAGGTATGGCCTGAAGAGTGTCTCCAGAAAAGCAATGCGCTGGTAGTATATAAAGTGACTAGAACATCATCACCTTCCACATAAACTACTCTTTTTTTTTTTTCCTTTTGGAGATAGATGAGATGTATTATATGTCCTAAAAGAATTACTCATGGGCAGTATGGTCTACCAGAAAAAGCCCTGGACTTTGTCTTTACTTTGGTATTACTATATCTAGATTAAATATCATCATCTCTAAATTTTATTTCCCTCATTTGAAAAAGTAAGATGGAAGGAAGAAGGAGGGAAGGTAGACAGAAAAAAAATAAAGATAACTTACCCTATCTATTCCATAGTATGACTGTGAGAAACAAATTAAGTCATAGATGAAAAAAAGTTTTATAAGAAAGTTATGTAAATATGAGATGAAGGTATTTGCATGTTTAGAATTAAAGATTCCTCATAAATGGATTTACAAAAAGAGGTTTCAGGCTGCTAACATTCAGTTGCCTGAATGCAATACAAAGAATTATGTAGCTGCTTCCACCGCTGGAAACCCTGACCACATCAAGTACACAATGGGGCTTTCAGACGACCTTAAGAAAACAGACTAGGCTGGTACACAGCCTTCTTGCTTTCATTGGGGGAAAATATAAATCAAAGGGAGAAGGGTACTTTACTCTTTAATGGTAAGTTATTTCCTCTTCAGTGCTATTTAGGATGCCCTGAAGTAACTGCTTTTACAGAGGCTGAGAAAAGTAGAGTAGGCAAACCAGATAAGCTTTTTATTGCTCTATTGTCTAATTCTCTGAAAACTAGAGGAAATTATAAAAATGGAGACAGACTATTTTTCTCTTAATATTCAAAAACCAAGCTAAAATCTTCTTTTAGGCTCTCTGAGGATTCTTGTGATTCAAGAAGACCAAAGAGGATTGTAAGTGTGTACACAAGCACACACACAAAAACACACACACATACCCAAGCACATTTTGATCTATTATTATTCAGTCTTTCTTTTTAACTCTTATTCAATACATTCATGCTTTAATACTCTCATCTTTGAGTTATCAAGTTTGCACAATTAGAATTTTTTGTAACTATTAAACATGTCTAAGTTTTTATAAGCCTGATACTCAGGCAACGCACACCCGGAGAAGCAAATCATGGTGCCTGAGGGTGCATGGAAATCCCAAAATAAAGTTCTGATTCTATTTTAGGCACTTAATCTATGTATTCTCCATGAAAGAATTCCATTGAAACATTTCAGCCCAGTGACGTTGGTTGTGGAGCTTTTATCTGAAAAGTGTCCTTGTTTTAAATTCTTCTCTAGAAGCCCCATGACCTCACACAATCCCTTCAGTCATTTCTCGTTTCTTATCTAGTAGCTCCGACTCACTTACCCAGGGGAATTTTTTCCAGCAGGTAGAGATAGCTCTGAAAGAAGTCATTTCGAATGGCTTTGTGAAGGATAAAAGACATGCTATGTCGGCAAAGTTCATCGTCGGTCTTCTGCCAGCGGGATCTAAAGGCAAAATGGGCTCCCAGGTGGGCCATGACAAAGGGGAGAATAATGATTCCTACAGAGAAAGGAAGCTTGCCTTGCTGTTTCTTTGAATTAGCCTTCTCTTCCTAAATGAACTTGAGACTGTCATTTTAAACCGGTCCCCTGTCCATCTATATCAGGACAGGCTGTTATGGGGTGAGGGGAGGAGGGGCAGCACACAGAGGGAGGGAGGTCAGGCTCTTGGCACATCTTCCCATCTGATTGCTTGGGCGACACCACTCCAAGCCAGCAGGTGCTAAGTAAAGATGAAAACAGGCTGAGAGAGATCCTGCTTCATCCAGGAAAAAGCATGCCTCTCTCCTTTAGCCGCCACTTCAAACAGGCAAGAGCACAGCCTGTTAACACCCTGAATATTTGCCTTAATTTGATTTCTAAATTGGAATAGCCTAATTTCCATTTCAAAGAGTTGTGAATATTTTGCAGGAGATCTTGTTCCCTGATTTCCATCACTCCTGCTAGAACACTGAATCCTTAAGTTACGAGGACCCTTCAAAGCCGTATAAGCCACCCACAGGTGACAAGCTCCTTTCATCAGTACAATTTCTCCCAAATCATTTTAGATATGTATATGTGGTTTCATATTTTGAAGGATCTTCAAGAGAGGCAATTATTTGAAAGCTTGTTTTGATGTTAAATATCCTTCTCTGTCAGCAAACTCTTCCATTTAGCTTGCTGTAAACAACTATTCATGTAAGCCTGTTTCTTCCTCCCTGCCTACTATGGATATGATTTCTTACTCTTAAGTACATTTGTTTTCTGCACTGGGTATCTTCTGATTGTCCCTCCAGATCTACTCTTCACTCTTCACACATTACTATGTGTTCCCAGGAGGCTGTCCTACATCAGTAGACTCCATTGCCCTCTGGCTGCCAGTTGGCTTTAGCCAATGGATAGTGCCAGGAGGAGACTGGAGGAAAATGAAGTCAAGGTATTTATTTCCTTGACACCTTCTCTTTGGAGATGCCATAAGCTGACCATATCCTTTAACAGAAGGTCATACATCTGACAAAGGTCTTCTCATACAAATATCTTCTCCCAATTGTGTTCATTTCTCCTTCACGTGACTGCTTGAGGCCCAGAGGAAGTGATGGGACAGGTGACAAGCCCGATTCCTTGTAATTTTCTTTTCTTTTCTTTTTCTTTTTTTTTTATTTGAGTCAGAGTTTTGCTCTGTTGTCAGGCTGGAGTACAGTGGTGTGATCTCAGCTCACTGCAACCTCCACCTTCCGGGTTCAAACGATTCTCCTGCCTCAGCCTCCCGAGTAGCTGGGACTACAGACAAGCACTGCCAAGCCCAGCTAATTTTTGTATTTTTAGTAGAAAAGGGGTTTCACCATGTTGGCCACGATGGTCTCAATCTTTTGACCTCATGATGCGCCCATCTCGGCCTCTCAGTGTTGGGATTACAGGCGTGAGCCACTGCGCCCGGTGCATTGTCATTTTCTTGTACTTGCCCACATATTTGTAAACAGTCCCTTTATTAAACCAGTTCAAATTCCCAATTTGTGAATTCCATCTGTTCCCTACAGGGACCTTGATTACTGTTTTGCTCCCCTAATGTTCCTAACAGGAAAATATGTAAGATCTCAATTACACTATTGGCCCTATGCCATGTGCACCCACAGACCCCCTGCCCATCCATATACACATGCTAATATACACAAATGCACACATTATGGTAGACAGCTTCTAAGGTGACCCCTGTCTTAGTCTGCTCTAACGTATTACCACAGACTATGTGGCTTAAACAACAAACATTTATTTCTCACAGTTCTGGAAGGTTTAAAGTCAAAGATCAAGGTGCTGGCTGATCCCGTATCTAGTGAGGGCCCTCTGTCTGGTTTGCAGATTGCCCTCTTCACATTGTGTGCTTACATGGCAGACAGTGAAATCAAGCTCTTGTGTTTTTTCTTGTAATAGCACTAATCCCCTTCATAAGGGCTCCACCCTCGTGACCTAATTATCTCCCAAAGGCATCCATCTCCAAATCCCAACACATTAGGGCTCAGAAATTCAACATCAAAATTTTGAGGGAACACAAACATTCAGTCCACAGCAGTCCATAGGAATCCCCACCTTCTTTCTGCCTGGTAGTCACCTCTTCCTGTAATCCTCTTTCTTTGAGTATAGGCTGGACTTAAGGACTCACCTCTAAAGAATAAAATACGGCGAAAGTGATGGGATGTCACTTCTAAAAAGAGGTTATTAAAAGATTGTCTTGGGTGTCTTCTTTCTCTCTCTTGCTTGTTTGCCCTGTGTGAAGACTGCTGCCTGTTGTGAGTGGCCATGTGGAGAGGCCCACATGTCAAGGAACTGAAGTGCTAAGTCAAACAGCCCAGGAGAAACTGAAATCCACTAACAACCGTGTAAGTCAGCTTGGAAGCAAATCCTTCCCCAATTAACGGTTTGACTGCTACTTGATGAGAGACCCTAAGCCAGTTATGTCACACCCAGGTTGCTAACCCACAGAAATGTGTTTATTCTTTTAAGCAACTAAATTTGGGGATAATTTGTTAAAATGCCACAATATATAATGAATTCATACATTGTCCATGAATTCTTTTTATTGAGACAGGGTCTCGCTCTGTCACCCAGGCTGGAGTGCAGGGGTGTGATCATGGCTCACTGCAGCATCAACCACCCAAGTCTCAAGCAATTCTCCCACCTCATTCTCCAGCGTAGCTAAGACTATGAGCATGCACCAGCACATTGGGGTTTTTTTTGTTTGTTTGTTTGTTTGTTTCTTTTGTAGAGACAGGGTCTGGTTATGTTGTCCAGGCTTGTCGAAAACCCCTAGCCTCAAGCAATCTTCCCATCTCAGCCTTCCAATGTGCTGGAATTACAGGCATCAGCCACTAAGCCCAGCCAGAATTTTTTGGAGATAGAGAATGTAGCCATAATCTTTTTTAAAGTTTTATTTGTGTGTCAATATTTTACTGAGAGAGGAAGTAAAGATTCCATTTATTTGACTCTGATTTATTTTTCTTCATCTTCTTGTGCTTCTGTTTTGCCATTTTCTCCCTCCCCAGATAAAGGGACAGCCATTCAATTTTGATGGGATTGTCCCCATCCCTGGCTTCAGTAATTGTCCAGATCGCAGTTCAAGTTATCCATTTTGCCCCCACCACCATTTGTGGTACACAGATGGGTATATCATCCATGCCTGAGCCAGTCAGTACATAATGTTACCCTGGTTCCAGTTTTCATCTGGGAGTGGGCGCATTATCTAAGTCTGTTTTTGTTGATGCCAGCTTGTGTTGGGTTTTCTGTATTAGCAACATGGAGTTTTGTCTAATACAAATACCGTCCTGAATCACTTTTGCTCAATAAATTCTCATGAAGATAAAGATAGAGTAGATGACATCAAACAGGCCAAAGAAACTTCTAGTGAGATTATTTCATGATATTAAAAAGGAAGGGTCTTACCTGGAATTCAGCAGATATAACTGAGTTAGAAATTCATTGTCACCACTTATATATGGGGTTATCTCAACTAACTAATTTCTTAGTCTCCCTGAGCCTCACTTTCCTCTTCTTTAGTATAAAAATGTTGATAATAGTATATGCCTTACTTGATTATTGTGAGGATGAGATGAAATAATCCATGTAAAATACCACCATGCCTAAGACACAGTACATGTTCAGTTAGTCATTATCATCAGCTAGCTATTATCATTATAATCTTTGGAGTAAGCTAATGATAAGTTATAGCTTATGATGTTTATCTAGTTCTTCTTGTATTGTATACAAGCAATTTTAACACATATCCAGATTCTTAACCCCATTTCAGTGATGTTTTGATGACTCCTCCTATGCTGAAAAGGTCAGGATGTTTGGTGCTGGGAGACAGAATGGCAATCACTGGCTTAAGACACTCAGTATTGCTTATCTGGCAATTGATATTAGCAAGTCTCTCAGTTTTTACAGAACTGATTTTCTTCCACTATAATATGAACATTAATTATTTACATTTGAACGAGGTTTATTAAGTGTTCTAAGATTCTATGTTTCATACTCATAATTCCTGAGTAGAGCGAAAGACACTGATTTCTGCAAAATGCCTTTGTCAACTTTTGTTTATCTCTGTGGGTCGCATAGGATTTTGTGACTGTTTCTCATACTGGTATAGCTCGAACTGCTTTCTGGCTCATTGCATTTGTTTCCTTATGCCAATAATTTTTCTCTCACAGTTGCAATGCTCTATTTACTACCCCCTCACACCATTCTTGGCTATATTCATACTGAGTAAGTGAAGTTATGATATAGATTTCAAGCCTACTAGTCATCAATTTCCAGGCAGGAAAGAAAAACAATGAATGTAGAAGAAAGAAATATGACTTCAGCAAGAGAAGGTAGAAACTCTGAATTTCTCCATTTTGGTTTTCTTTCTCACAGGGGATCCCTTGGTGGGGAAGTAACTAGTGTTAAAAAGTAAATTATCATGAAGAGAGAGTCAGAAGTAAGGAAAACAAGAAAGAAAAAAAAAAGCCACACAAAAAGCATACTCATTCCATAGTACAATAAGCTAATTTGTTTGGGAACATACATTCAAAATAAAACACCTATCAAATTAAAATCTCATAATACTTAAAAGTGAAACTCAGCACAGAGGACGAAATAAGGATATTTTCAGACAGAGAATTTACCACTCATAAGTGCTAACTGGAAGCACAGCTAAAAAAAAAATCGCTTCAGGAGAAGGAAATTAACACAGGGTGTTATTAGCACAGGAATAAGGTAAAACGATCAATAAAACAGAATACACACAAAGCCCCAAATAAATCAATTCATATATGGTAAGTTGACATAAGACAGAGTTAGTATTGCAGTAGAGAAAAGATATTTTCAACAATGGTCCTGGTGTTGGCATAATTGCGTCCCCATCTCATATCATGCACAAACCTTACCCAAGCAGATTGAAGACTTAAATGTGAAAAGAAAAACTCTAAAATTCTTTGAACATGTCATGGGAAAACATCTTTATGATAAAAGAGTAAAAGAAGGATAATTTTTTTAAGATTCAAAAAGTAAAAATCATAAAAAGTATAATTTGACTGTATTGAAATTAGAATGTTGAACTTTTGTTTATCAAAAGAAACTATTGAAGAATAAATGGGTAAGAAATAGCTACCATCAATAATTAATCAAAAATTAGTATACTAAATATATGAATAAATAAGAATAATACAAATGATTCTATGCAAAATCTGAGAGAAGACATTAACAGATAGTTCAAAGAAAAGTAAATACAAATCCAAATTAAACATTT